AGGAATGGAGTTACCTGAGGGGAGGGCTTACGACACTTGATCGTGACTATGGATGGATTAACAACATCCATCATGATATTGGAACCCATATCATTCACCATCTGTTTCCTCAAATCCCACACTATCACTTGATCGAAGCGGTGAGTGTTTCTTTATTTTGATCAAGACGTGCTTGTTATTGCTTCAGATGATCACCTCTCTGGGACCTGAGGAGAGGCTTGTTTTGACCTGCTGTTTTCTCTTATCCGATTGTTATTGCTTCATTGTATGTATAGACTGCGGCGGCCAAACCAGTGCTTGGGAAATATTACCGGGAACCAAAGAAATCAGGCCCTCTACCTTTTCATCTAATCGGAGACTTGATAAGAAGCATGGCAAGAGACCACTACGTTAGCGACACCGGGGATGTTGTTTACTACCAGACTGACTCTCTAGTTAGTCGCTCATCAACGGAAGAGTGAATTCCCTGGCCTTCCTCAACCGAATCACAGGACAGTTTGCTCAGCCGCTTTATGTTGGATTTATTTGCCAAGCGTGGACAACCTGTCTGAGCAAGATTTTCCATGGTAAAGGACAGGCTCGTTTGATCTCAACCTTTTCCTTTGAGAAAAAACTGATGCCTACCAGAAATGACTGCAGGTCTTTCTTGGTGCCTGGGAAGAGTATACATGTAGGGGTATTTTCATAATTAATCCTGTAGCAGTGAAGGAAATAATGTGGACATAATGTATGTTAAGGAAGTGTTTAGGTTGTTTTTAAAGTGTTGTTTTATTTTAAAATATATTTAAATAATATTTTTTTAATTTTAAAAAATTATTTTTTAAAAAAACATAAGAAAATAAATATATTTTTATGAAATCACCTGGATGTCGTGTAGCATTGAAAATTACAAAAAAATAATGAAAAAGATAGTGGCCCCTTTCTTCTGCATTGTTTTCCTCCCCTCTTTGTGTAGTTGAGTCATGAGTGGACACAATGAGGACTCGGGACTCAGTGTAAGGATCCTGATCTGTGCTGCTTTGTATTTTTCTCCATATTTATTTTGTGACAGAGAAAAGAAAAAGCAAGTCCACGCTGCTTTGACTTTCAGAAATGGCCCATCAAACGGGACCGAAAGCAGCTCTTAAACGTCATTTTGATGTAAGCATTTTATTATATTTCCTTTTCACTATGAATTATATCACATCAACCATCAAATCAGTAAGGGCCATGTGCAGAGACACAGAGAAATTGGAGTTAATTATAATTCAGTTTTTGTTATTTATCATAATTAATTAATTAGTCATCATCATGGTCTTAGAAATTAAATATACACAATTTATATTTTTAAATTTATTTATAGTTTGACCCTTTTTGTCTATTTTATGTTCCTTTTCAATTTACTTTCCTTTTCTTATTTTAATAAATGGAAAAAAGAGTAGATAAAATCAAATGATTGATCAGAAAAGAGAGCATTTTTTGCAACAAAATTTAAGAAATGTATGGTGCTGAATCGCCAATTTGCCTGCGCCAATATCCGGAATCTGCAAATGAATTACCTTATTTATCAGTGGTATAGCACCGTGGACCCCGCCCCTGAAACTACAATACGAGTAGTTGATAGGTATTTTTGAAGCATCAGATTCTCATAATTTATTTTTGAATTTATATTTTTATAAAAAAATAATTAAAAATATTAAAAAATATGACTGAAAATAATGTCAAAACATCCTAAAAATAATTAAAAATTGATTGATAAGGTTTAACATTATAAAGATTTAAATTTGATAGTATTTTATTAATTGATAACAGCTTTGTTGACAAAAAAAAATTAATTTAAGAAAAAAGTTTTAAATTAGATGTTTATAGACTCAATTAAATTTTATTGAAGGTTTAATTGAATTTATGGGGAGTTTGATTGCGAAAAAAATTTGATTTTGGAGTCAATTTGGACTTTAATTAGAAGAAATTAAAGTTTTGGTGTCAAAATATAATTTTTTAGAGTTAATTTGATCAAATCATGGGCTTAATTACATAAATATTGAAGTTTGATGGCCAATTAAGGACTTAATTGAAGAAATCCGAAACCAAGAACCAAATTAAAAAAGACGTGTAAATAGGGGGTGTAATTAAAACTAGATCAGGGGCTCAATTAAAAAAATTAGAAGTTTATTGATCAATTGAGGGTCAAATTGCATAACCTCAAGACCAAGGATTAAAGTGAAAAAAGCGGCCACCTTCAGGCTGCTATTTGATTTTTGGTAGGGATGCCATTGCATTGATTTTTAAATTAAAATTAAAATTTAGGACTTGATTGAACAAATTATAAATTGAGGACCAATGTGAACTTTAATATATTTTGCCGCTTTCTCCTTTTAAATAAAACGATGCATTTTGACCAAAACAATATCATTTCATGCACTGTTCACAAAAAAAGAAAAAGCTAGAAACGATGTCGTTTTGAACGGCACCATCATCTTCTTCCCCTGGATGCGCAAGGAACAAGGGAAAAAGAACAGGGAAAAAAGATTTTCTTTTCTCTTCTATTTCTCACTGACTTTTCTCACCTTGATGATTTTAAAAAGACGCCAACACAACCCATATTTTCCACGTGTTGAAGGGCTAATGGAGGGGCTGTAGTACGGTGGCCTCCTCAGCCATGTCCCTCCCCTATTTTTCCCCATAAAAACAGGAGAAGGGAACGAAAAAAAAAGACAATGAGAGGGATGAGAGAAGAGAACAGAGGAGAAGAGAAGAGAGAGAGCGGAATAGAAAGAAAAAAAAGAGAAAAAAAAGCTTACAAGAGATAAAACACAGGAGAGAGAGAGAAAGAGAGAGAGAGAAGAAAAAAGTATCGCCGACCATCGCGAACCACCAGCACTGTCGCCTGTAACCTCTAGTAGCATAGCCAATGATTGCAGCCATCGCAGCACAGCCTTTTTCCCCTTCTTCTTTTTCCTGCTTTGTTCTTGCCATGCCTCCACTGTTCACACTGGTTGGGCTGAGCCCAACCCATGTCCCTCCACAACGAGAGGGACGAGAGAAAAGAACAGAGAAGAGAAGAGAGAGAGCAGAATAAAAGGAAAAAAACTAAAAGAAAAAAAAAGAAGAAAAGGTAGACAAGAGTGTAAAACATAGTTAGAGAGAAAAGAAAAACAGCACTGCTGGCCATTACAAACCACAAACGCCACCACCTGTTGCCCCCAGTAGCATAGCCAACAGTTGTAGCCATTGCATGTCAGCCCTTCTCCCCCTCTTCTTTCTCTTGTTTCGTTCCTACCATGCCTCCACTATTCACGTAGCATGTGAACAGTGGAGGGCACTGTTCACATGGGCTGGGCTAACCCAGCCCCTGTATTTGGGTCTGATCGGCCCATTAAAAAGAATTCAAAAATATTTTTTAGAAATTTTATAGTTTTTTTTGTTTCGTTTTTATGTCATTTTGAGTAATATCGAGTAATATTTTTATGTCGTAAAAATTTAAAATCTAGTAGTAGAATACTTGGTTTTTGTCAAAACTTCTAAAAATGGAAAAAAATTGAAAAAAATAAAAAATAATTTCTGTGCATACGACTAAGTGTCTCAGAGCTAAAAAATCATATTGTGTTTTTCATACACCAAAAAATAATATTTTAGTATGTATTTTAACTTTAATAACTAGTTTAATAAAATTAAGAGAACATTGACTAAAATTTCAAAAAATACAAAAAATTTATTTTGTTTTGTTTAGTGCAAGAAATTATTAATTTATACGTAAAATATATTTTAGATATTAAAAAAGTAGTTTTTTACGACATAGAACAATTAGATTCTTATTCGATAAGATAAACATCTCTTTACAGAAAATGACTTTTCTTAAATCGTAGATAGATTGACAAAGTTTTGAAAAATATAATACAACCTTATATTTTATCAAACGTTGAAACAATGCAACTTACCTTAAGTAAGGCATAGTTGGGATGCTAATATCTTCCATTTACGCAATTAGTCTTCGTACTCGATCTTTGAGACCAGTTAGGATTCCTAGTGACTACAATATTAGGTGGCGACTCTTAATCTATATTTTATTAATTAAAGACAAAAATTCATTATTTCTTCATATTTTACAAGAAATAGACCATATATATTTTTCCTAGAGGGTGGATAATCGCCGCGATGCCACATATATACAACACAGATATTATCCTGTTTTTATTTGTAATTTTTTATGGATGTAACTTAAGTTTGGGTGCATCAACATGCTGTTATCAACATGGTAATTGGCTGATGGGAGAAGAACTTGTCTTCTCCCTGGAGTTTGCTTACCAAACTCTAATGAAAACAATCAACGTCAAAGTTATTAAAACTAGTTTGATTTATAATTTAGATTGTAGATTGAAGAATAATTTGCGCTGATTTAAATTAATTAAAATAATATTATTTTAATTAAATTATTTAAATTTGATTAGGTTAATTCTTATCTTATTTTTTTAAACCTAATCTAGATTAGATCTTGCATCTACCGGGTCCTAAATTAATTTATAGACTAATCCAAGTTTAATGATGCTAGTGTGCACGGAAACTAACCCTAATAGTGTATTCATATTGATTTCGTTTTAGTTTCAAGTTTAATATAAAAGCAAAAAAACCAGAGCCACACTTGAAAAGTAGTGTAATATAAAATAAGCAGATTTTTAGTTAACAAGTAATCTTAAAATATATATCAACTTACTCTAACGTAAAAGAGGCCCATCCCAATTGCTGGCTTAAGAAGAAGCCATAGCCTTTGACATCACACAAAACTCACAAACAAGCCCATAATTAACCTAAGGTCATATAGACATCACAGTCAGCAGCGTCGGTGGTTGAGAATTTTGAACACAAAGACCCTTGTGGTCCAACCTCCTCGGAACCATAGCAGACCATCTAGACTCAGAAGTCAACAAATACAGCTATACCATGCTTGAACCCCGAAATTCTTCTGAAATTAAATAATATTTCAATATAGTTCCTAGCCAGGCATATTATAATAGTAGGCAGATAGCATGTCAGAAAATGCAATTGACAGGTCGTTTTATCCTAATGTAATTTATAGTGTACTATCTATCTTTCTATCACCCGACCTAGCAGCGCGTAGGTGGAGCATCTTTCTTCTTTCTCAATGTGAATTCGACGACCGAATTTTTTATCTGCCGACTTTTTCTTCACCACTGTCCAACAGAACTCCATTCAAAACCCAAAGCCCGCCTCTGCTCATCCCTCTTTTGTAGCATACGTCTGAATACATTACAAAAGCTTGTCTCTTCTCTGCATCTCATGTACATCCCTTGACTACACACTCAAAAGAAGCAAACCAAACAATGAGTCACTCACATAACTCAGGTTCTGGGTGTTTTTCAGGCATAGTACGTCTTCTTCTATGCAGAGGCAGTCACCAAACACACCCATCAGATCAGAGAGTAGAGCCCATCACTCCAGAGTTCTTCAATCATGTAAAGAAAGAACCAAAAACTGGTATTGATACTAATGTTGAAACTCCAGTCAGTACCAAGCCAGGTGTGGTGGCTAGGTTAATGGGGTTGGATTCATTGCCAGATACCAACCGGGTTCCACTAGGAAGGAGTAACCCAGAGTCGGTCACAAGAAGTAGGTCAGTGAATTTTATGGATTACTTGCTCCAGTTGGATCTAGCACAAGCACAACATCGCCGAGTGAGAACATCAGTATCATTTCGTGAAGTGCCAGCGTTGATGAATCAAGAAAACCATGATGTGTACGTTCTTTACTTGGATGATCAAGACAAGAAACCTAAGAAAATGGGATCAAAACAGAGGAAATCTGAAGGGATCAGTTTTGGAGATCAGATGAAGCTGAAGAATTATGAAGAGCGAAGCAAGAACAAGGAGGGCATAGTTACAAGGGAAGGAGCAGTAAAGATGGAGAAGAATCGACATAACAACAACATGAAGGTTTCCACGTCAAAGAATGAGCCAAAGAGGGTGTCTAGAAGTAGACAATTTTCCAGTGTTCGTAATTGCGATGGTGTCCAATTTTCATCATCAGGCTTTGTCATGCCTCATAAAAAAGATGTTTGCAGAAAATCTCGAGAGAATCCAAGGGCAAGAAGTCCAGTGAAGAAGCCCGTAAATCAGAAGGAAGTATTGGTAGAATCAAAGTTCATGAAGAGGATAAAGAAACGGCAAGCATATAAAGACTCGCAGTCTGATTGTAGCTCAGAAGATTCAAGCACAATTTCTGTTTTTGGTCTCAGTGAATTTTTGGCTCATGATGCAATACCTCCACCTGGTTAGTTTATTAAGCACTAGCACTTCTTATTTGTGAATTTTCTCTAAATTACCAACATCCAAATCAACTTAATGTTGTTGCTAATTCTTTTTCCCTTTTAAGCAGGTGACACATGGCCTGTGGACATGAAGTTCTCAAAGAAGATATCTTCACCAAATCCTCCAGATTTAACTGATAACATGCTGATCAATGGTGAAGATGAGCCAGTGGGGATCAAGAAAAATGATTTTGAATCATGTAATAATCGCAATAAGGAACATTACGGTGAAGTACTGATAAAGCTCTGCAGGTTGACAGAGGAAGATGTGAAGGAGTCTAAATGGGTAATGAAGAACACGTTTGATTCTGAATGTCTTCAAGAGATGTTCACGGAGTTTGGGCAGCACATCCTTGATTTACTTTTATGCCAATTAGTAGAAGAACTTGCTGAATTTCACATGGAAGAATTTTGATTCAAGAAGATCTTTCTGTGTGTACTTCTTGCTTGAAAATCTAATGTGAAAGGAGTTAGCCGACTTCAGGATAGTGAAGTTGTATATATAGTCTGCACATGGCATGTGATGCTGAAGGGCAGAAGGTTCTTGGAATCATCTGGTGTTTGGTGGTGCTCATTGGATTAAAATACATATTTTGGGGAAATGCAAACATGTTGATTGTGGAAATATTTTCTGTTTATATTTCTTATTTATTTGTTATTATTAATATGGTGTTCATGTTAATTTGTTAATTTATGTATACTTTAATTAATCTACAAGTCATGAAATTAACAATAATGTAAACTTCCAATAATTATAAAGTTTATAAAACTAAAATTAAAAAGCTCTAGAAAATAAATCTAAAACCTGATTAGTTGATTTATACCTATGATAAAAGTTATGTGAAATGCCTGTAAAAGAGCGCAATGACACACAAACAAGACCATCGGATTCTGCTGCCCTCAAACCTTTTCAAATCCGTTGTTACCTAAGCTTTGTATGGTAGTGTAACCACCAGACGCCAAGGGTATATCTTTAATGGCAGAAACCATTTGAAAGGGCAGAAAACATAGAGAAATGACTCTTTATTTTGATTAACAAAAAAAAAACATTATAGCATACCGAATAGCTATCCCTTAAAGATTCAAAATCAATATATGAAAAGCTATTTTGATAATTTTTTCTCGTGACTCTCTATATAGCTATTCTGTTGAAGATACCCTAAGAGTTCTCTTTCGGCCACTTTCCCAAACACTCCAAGACAACAATTAGGATCACTTAATGACGAAAGTCTATGCATTGCTACACGAGAACGAGAAGTATTTTTAAGCAAAAAAATATTTTAAAATGCAATCCTTTTCACATTCTTGTACAGCCTCTGAGTTAAGCCCTGGAACAGGCTAGATTTTATATCCAACCTGAAAGCTTCCAAGCACCTACGCACCTGAGATTTTCATATAGACACCTGATATCATCTGGGAGTGTGCATTTAGGGTGCTAGGGACAGTTCCCATTGACCCTCTTAAAAAGTGTTATGTCGTTGTTAACTAGGAAAAGAATACTTAATCACTGGTATAACATTGAACAACTTGTATAGATACATATGAACTACCCTTCTGCAGAGTTTAGAGTTGCCTGTAAACAGTGAATAGATGATCCCTGATCTAGAAGGTGATCTATCATTGATGCTTTGGCAAAATCGTAAGAAAAGTCCTTGTTAAGCAGAAAAGGAAAAAGGCTTTGGGGTTTAGCTGTCCTCTCCTGAAATTACTCTATCTGTAGATCTAGAAACTTGATTCCCTTACAAACCAAATCGCTCTCAGTTTGCTGTCTTTTGCCGTTTTCTTCCGCGTAATGTTCCAATAATCAGATCATTCACTTTGAAACAATTTTTTTTTTTAAATTTTCAATTTCCTATGTTTTCGTTACTTCTTATATTAACATTATTTTTTTTTAAAAAATGTTTTCGTTACTTCTTATATTAACATTTTTTTTTAAATAATGTTAATTAAATATTTTATCATTTTTAATTAAATATTTTTCAGTTTTATATTTTTAATTAATGTTCCTGTGTCCTTGACTTGAGTTGTTTTTTATATTATTTTTAATTAAATATTTTTTAGTTTTATTATTCAATATTGAATTGATTATAAATTGAATTTCATAATTTATTTTAATTTATTTTTTATAAAGTTATTACAATCTCATGACTTAAATTATAAATTTACCAGAGTAATTTGAATTGATTTGAATCGATCCAATATGTTATCATCTTAATATTTTTTAAAAATATCATTTTTTTTTAAATTTTTTAAAAATATCATTATAATTTTTTTTTAGACAGCATTAAAGTGAGGTTAAAAAAATGTTATTCACTATAGATACTTTAACATGGTAATAAATATCTAAAATCATAAGTGGATAAATAAAAAATTAATTTTAAAGAACTCTCTATCGAACAAATGTGCATACACAAAAAAATATTGGAACCCACTTTGAAAGATTATAAACATTTTAAGTGGTTTATATTTAAGGTGAATAAAAAAATTAAAAAACTAATTAAACCGAGAAAACTATAAAAAAATAACTAAAAAAATTGAATCATGAAAATTGAATCATGAAAAAAAACCAATTATAATTTTTTAAAAATTGACTGATTTGATTTTATAAACTTAAAATAGAAAAAACTGAACTAATAAAAAAAAATCAAGTCAAATAAAAAAAACTAAAAAACAAAAAAAAATCAAGCTAAATTAGAAAAACTAAGCTAAACTGAAAAAATTGAGCAAAATTAGTTTTTTTAATAACCAAACTAAAACAAAACTAGTCAGTTTGAATCGATTAAAAAAACCAAGCTAAACTGAGTCAAAAAAAATTGAGCAAAATAAAAAAAATTAAAAAACCAAAAAAAATCAAGCTAAACTAGAAAAATTAAGCGAAACCGAAAAAATTGAGTAAATTTGGTTTTTTTAATAACCAAATCAAAACAAAACTAGTCAGTTTGAACCAGTTTTGGTTTAATTTTAATTTTTTTAAAAAAATTAGTTTGATTTTGCTTTTAAATAAAAAATAATCAACCCTACTTTTATATTATGATAATTTGAAGTTAAAAGCAGCCCGTGTGGCGCTAAGCATTTAGAGGGGAGAGACCAAGTTATGTGGGCTTTGCAACTAAACCACATGCATTCATTTTGCTTGCTTGGCTCGGAAACCTTCCTTTACACGAACAAGTTATTATTAAGAGTAAAAATGTAGGGTTTTAAGGCTAAATCTTTAGGTTCTCTAAACCACATGCATTCATTTTGCTTGCTCGGCTCGGAAACCTTCCTTTACACGAAGAAGTTATTATTAAGAGTAAAAATGTATGGTTTTAAGGCTAAATCTTTAGGTTTTGTTTTTGATTTATAGTGGGTAATCAGTGGTTAAAAACAACAACAAAAATTTTTGCATCAATTTTGATTCTAAATCTCAGTATAAATATGGATTTAAGGGATTGTTCTGTATATAAGCAATCATCACTTCTTTCTCTCTCTTATTTATTTATTTATTTTTATTTATTTTTTTATATCTATTCTAGAGTTTTAAGTTGTTGTATTTCATAGAGGGATTTTGAGTTATATTTTTATAAGTTCATGAACCTTAATCAATAATACAATATTCAATTCAAGATGATGTTACTAAAATCTTTGATTGCTGCTTCTATCGAGATTATTGTAGCAATGATAGGCAATTTAACTTTAATATAGGGCTAAATCCTTACAACAATTTAATCTGCCTTTTCTTGTTCGGATATAATTCTTCAAGGCGTTAATATAATTTTTCAATAAAATTAACCATAAATCAGCCATGATCGATGGATCATAATTTGACCATTATTGATCAACCATGTTTTTTTAATACAAATTCTAAGTTTAAATAGAAACCGTTATATATTTTAATAATTTTTTTAATTCTGCAAGTGAAATAACATGTATGTTATTAATTGTACCAAATAATTTGACAAAGTGATTTATTCTTAACAAAAGCGTGTTACATGTTTTCTCCAGGTCGTTAACCCATGTGCGGGTGCAAGTTTGAGGCCAAAATTCAAGTCTCCAACTCAATTACAAAGAAAGTTCCTAGTTTTCTTTTTATATAGCCTATTAAAAGTTAAATAATTATTAATTTTAAAATTTATAAAATTAATTAAAATATATACTATCTGAACATTCACATTAATAATAAAAAATTTCAATCAAATTTGGATTTTTTTCTTTATTTTTTTCTATCAATTAATAAACATGTGGCATCTATGTTCCTTGAAGCAACTGAGGGGCCACCATGGCATGAATGTCTTAGCTTAATTCATTTGAGGTTTTGTTTTTTAGATGGTTGAATTTTATGGTTTGTCTTGTAACTGTGATATGTGGCTTGGGAAAGTGAGCATGGCTGGAAGATTTAACTTACTTTTCATTAAAATTTAATTAATTAATTTAAATTTAATTAATTTATTATTTTAATTTACTAATAACAAAATAATTTTTATAATATAAAATAATATTATTTTAATTTATTTCCTAACAAAACATATTTCAATAATCAATAACTTTCCACCACCTCTTTAATTTTCCAAAGCCATCATTGATGGAGCTACGCTATCTGCACCTTCCGCCTCTGGCATGGGACCGGATAGAATGTCCTGTTGTACGATTTGTTTTTGAAATTAAGTGTTAGTGCACGTGGACGAGTAAAAGAATTTTACTTGGAATCAACTAAGCTCGAACATGGCTTTCATCTACCAATCAAAACTTCCTGCAACCGGCGGCATCACATTTTTCTTCTGGTTTTGGGGCTGCACTTGACTCGGGACTACTAGCTTCGGAAGGCAAGGCATTGCTTCGGAGTGGACGGTGGAGTTGTTAGAAATTTATTTAATTAATATTGTTTAAATAAATTATTTATTAATATTAAATAATTATTTGTTTTTCTATTTAAAAAATATTTGATCTTCCTAGGTTTAATTCCGAGTAGCAAATAAATACTGATAATGATAATAATTAATTTTTTAATTTTTAAAATTTATTATAAAAAAAGTAAAAAAAAAAATTTAACTTGGATTTTTTATTTTTACATGCTCTTCCTTATTTTATATTTTAATTTTTTTTTCATTTTAAATTTTGGTTTTACATCCAAATCAAGAGTTTGGATTTATCTTATTAAAAGATATTTAACTTTCATATTTTTTAGTTTAAATAACTTATTTAGAATTTTATCTAAATTAAAATGATAATATTGTTGGAATATTAAGAAACATATAATAAACATTCTAGTTGTATAAGTTAGTAATAATAAAATTTTAAAAATAAATAACTTATTCTTGACAACAATAAAAATTTTATTATTTTAAAATCATTCAACAAGTACACACTTTATTTTATTTTATTTCAAATATAGATATGTTTTACTACTAACATACATACTATAACTTTGAATTAAATTCATGTCT